CTGCGCAACAGCGTTATCTAGAAATAGTATTTATCAGATGTGGATCCGGGAAAACCTTAAAGAATTTTTAAAAACTTAAATACATATATTTTTTTCAAAGCCCTACAAGAAGAAACTAACTATCTATTAATAAAGGAGTTTTTAGATATTCGGCCTTGCGACCAATCCCTTTATATATCCCGCTTTTTTAATGCTATCTGATTCCAAGCACAGCAATTTTCTTAGCCGATATTTTGCATTTGAATTCATTGCCACATTATTATTATTATTATTATTATTATTATTATTATTGTTTACATTAGCTTTTCTTAACCATGGCAATCTTTTTTAGGTTTCTGTTTAAAATCATAATCATCTGCTTTCTGATGCACTCCTCTCTGTAGAAAGCATGTGCACTAAAATAAGCTCTGTATTTTAATTAATCTATGTTTTATCATCTTTTCCCAATTAACTAGAAATAGTGCCAAGTCAATATTATTTCCTGGAAAATTTTGCAGCACATGTCACATTATGAAGCACATGTTTGCTTTTTCTCATTGTACATTAATGAACTCTTTCAAGGCTAAAACTATTTTCCTTGTAACGATCATATTTTGGAGAAAAACCCGTGTGTAAGAACAAGCTAAAACCTCTTTTTGTATTCTTAGCACGTGGAAAATTAGAAATTGAAGTATTAAAAGACTTTCTTGCCTTAAAGCTTCCTCCATAACTTACACCAATATTGGAATGTGAAATTTTAAACTTCACGATAATGCTAATAAGCTTAATTTATACTTAAAAAAATTTATCTGAAGAGACCGTTTGTTTTCTGTGAATTTTTTTTCCGATAGATCCGCAGCTATAAATGTAGCCATTACAAAACATTCTACAGGCTCGTATATAAAATATTTAAATTATGTAAATATACGAGGGTTGTCCCGTAAAATCGTGGACAAAGCGTTTTCCCCAAAAAGTAATGGGCGCATTAAGCTGAAAATTTCAGTTAATGTTTATTTATCATATTTAAGGGGGCCGACTATAGTTTCCATTGCGCAATATTTCGCGCATCATATTAAAATGATGCGTATTTACTGTTTTAATGCAGCTTTTTTCGCCTAATTATTAAAATTAAATAAAATTAAGAAATTATAGGTATAAAAATGTAATAAAAGTTTGATTTTACTGATTTCTTAACCGATTTTGAAAGTGATAGGTAGGTTGACGTCGTCGCAGTGTGTTTTTGACGTTATGATAATCTGTAGCTCTTAAAAAAGGGTAATAAAAATATTGCAGAAAAAGTATTAAACATACACTCTTGAAATTTAAAACATAGAAATTTTAGAATATCTCCAATATTTTTATTATGTTTTCATGTGAAGCCATTGCATACGCCATATTTTGTAATACTCTATAAAAATAGTAAAATTTGCTATTTTTTGCATTTTGAGATGCCCCCTCTGGTAACAAGACGGTAGAATTTTGTGTGTCTTACATATATTGTATAATATAGTATTACTCATCAAATATTATAGTTTGAACAATATGTCTATTGTAGTATTTGTATAATTTGCTTTAAAGTGCTAAAAATTGGCATTTTCCAAAATAATCCTATAGTAAATGTACCTGCATTTTGAGACGGTCCCTCAAAAATACCTGGACGGCAGATTTCCTCCAAACTTTGCATGTACACTGAAGTTAATGTAAGTAATGTATGGTATAAAAATGAAGAGTTTCGCTATTGTAGTTTTCACACAATAAAATTATGGTCGGCCCCCTTTAGTGCATGATAATTTTTTTGATAAAATACAGGCAAAAATAAAATTATTACGCTTGAATGTGAACGAGGTATTGTCCTAAGGCGCACGGTCAAAAAACCAAGGGTTTATTAAAGAATACAAAAGTTTGAATTCAAAATAAAAGTTTTAAATACATAAGATTTGGATTAAAATTATCCTAATTCAATTCCACAATCAATTTTGTAGTCTTTGTAAAAATTTTAAGGCATTTGCTTAATTTTTGGCAGTTTCTCGAGCATTCGAAATGGGAAAGTGGTAAACACAACACACGAAAAAGGTGACGTTTTATGACGTTTCGGCGGACCGGAGAATAGTTCAGTTTTATTTCTATGTTGTAATGACACCTTTAGAGACTTGAAATGACCATAGAAGAAAAAAATTATAAAAATATCACTATATCTTAAGTATACAAATGAAATAGGAGTTTTCTTAGCGAAGTTATTTCTGATCGAGTCCCTGAGGAGTACAAAACATACGGACAAACTTCTTAAGGTGATACAATACATGGCATAAAATCTCATAATTTTTTTATTGATGCATATATTTACATGAAATTTGCTGTGTATATAACTAAAATATGTACTAAATAATAGTGAAAATTTCAGAACGCAGTGATGTTTATTTTTCACACTAGACAACTTGTCAACGATTTTACGGGACAACCCTCGTACAATGCAAAAAATGAATCAGAATTCATTTGAAATTTAAAAAAGGTACCTTAATTTTTTTTTCCTTTTAAACGTTTTATCTAATTTTATATGTATGTAAGAATGTAGCTTAGAATTGTATACGATACAAAGTAAAACATAAGAAATATGAAACAGTCTTAAAATTTAAACAAAAGTATGTCCACATAACAAGCAATTAACATTTATTTAATTGCTTGTTAAACATTAAGCAATTCTTGTGTTTTGTGTCTGTGTGTGTTTAAATTACATAGAGATCCAACAGTCAGAGTGCAAATTGTTAATTATCCATATTAAATGTCGTGTGTGCCCAATGATACTAGGGTAAACAATGAAATACTTGTTGTATTGTTAGATCCGTAAAATGGTGACCTTCCTAAATATCAACTTCAGAGGATTTTTAAAAAGAATAAATACATTGATTTTTTTCAGGTAATTTCGTCCATGACAAATTATAAAATACAGGTTATTTTTAATTTTTTTGTCATTTTTTTTTTTTGTCATTTGTTTGATATTTATTTTTCTATTGAAATTAAACATATTTGTTATTTGCATAATTTACAATAGTTTATTATGTACAAGATGATTACAGATGTTTGCCTATCTGCTTATTATGTATAAGATATTTACAATTTGTTGTATTTTTCTATATTTAAAGCTATGTATGATGTAAAACAACTCTTTTTAACAATATATTGTGTGATATTTTAAATAAATAGATAAAAAAAAATATTTGTACTACATGTAACAATTGTAGGAAAAAAGGTTGCATGTTATTACAGATCTGCACTTTCCTTTACAAAATTAATCCATATATTTTCAAATGTCAAAAAGTATTTGACTTTGTTTTTATAATCCACATTTGAATAAGACAATTTACATGTATAGAATATGCTGTAGCAAAGTGCTTCCAAAGTTTCTCCTAAAAATTATGTGTTACAGTAGAAAAGTGGTAGATATGGAGATAACGAACAGTATTTAATCTCAAAGTCCATAAATCAATGCAAAATAAGAGCATAGCAAACACGGACCCCCGAAACATCAGAGGTGGGATCAGGTGCCATGGAGGAGTGAGCATCCCCTGCCAACCGGTCACACCCGCCGTGTGCTCCTTGTCATGATTATGAAATAACGGAAAAAAATCCGTCGTCCATTCAGTATATAAATAATGGACTAACAATTGGTATGAAAAACGTCAGTCAGCATTTGACTCAATGATAAATTGTATTTGCTGACAAGGTCTTTGTATCTACCATAGTACAATAGTTGAAACCGGTAAAACATCTTTTTGTAAGGGTTTTTTATAAAATTAAAGTGATATATCTTTATTTATGAGTTTCGTGAAATAAAGGGGTCGGGTATACATGTAGGTAAGGTAGGGTAGTAAAACGCCAGCTTATTCGAATCGAAGAAGGATTAAAACCAAGCTCTTCTATAAAACAGATTTAACAGAGGATCAATCGAAAAATACGATATTGTTACAAGCTTTGTTTGCAGGAACTATAACACACTCTTCATGGAGTCTTTCTTGTTTCTATTTAACTTTAATATAGTAAATTCAGACGGACTGTGATTCGTGTTCAACTTAGTAACCCCTTTCTTCAATATATATCTACAACTGTAGTACATTTAATAATCAATTCTGACAAACTGTTCAAGTCTTATCCTTTTTGTGCCCGACGTATGGAATTATCTTCGACACAATTTATCATTCAATTGAAGCTATATCTGAACTGAATCAACCCTGTATTAAGGTTAAGGATTTTTTTTTTTATATTATTACTGCCTGGAAGTTATTTTCAACTACTTTACGTTAACAGCGCTGAGAATGCCGTGTCCTGTAGTTAAAGGAAGAAAAGAAGAAAAACTCTCCAGAGGATATTGCAGTTAATTGAATGTATTCAAAGGCAATGTACGGTTTCTAAGTTATCTAAAAATTATCTAAAAATTGCAAAGCAACAATACCGAGATTACCCGATTTATTCTGTTACTATGCATACCGTCTTAGTTAGGAATATACAAGTAAGTACTAAATTATAAGAGACTAGTTTATTTTAATTTTCCAGTTCATTTACAGATTAATTACAAAATTCAAAGAGTGAAACATCTGACAATATTAAAAATATTGTAACTTTACAAAACAATCATTGTCTGAATAAATAACAGGAAATACATGTTTACCTAGTAAAACAAATAAGGCTTTTGAATGATGGAAAAAAAATGATTGATATTGTGTTCCTGAATAGCAGCATTTTATCATATTTATTAGTTATCCTAGAATCGTTAGACATCATTTTATTATACATGAATTTGCAAAATTTACCTTCTAAAGAGCTAATTGTATTCAATAAAGACTCATACATTGTATTATACTCTAAAATAATTTGAATAATTGGAAACTCGATACAAAAAAGAAAAACATACTCGTACATGATTCATGTAAATTAAAGTCACAAGTAAAATATTTTTTTCACACCAAGATAGCGTAAATCTTTCTAAACGTCTTGTACTTCCAATATTTTCTACAACCATGGACGTTCTATGCTTGTCTTAGCATCATTCTAGTTTGTGTCAAGGACACACTCCAACCTTTGAAGAAGTACCAGCTGATCCCTTCTCCGTGATTGTTATTGCCGTATTCACCGTTGAGGTTTGACCGGTGCCCGTCGGTGTACCACCAGGCTCCCCGCCACGTCTGCGCATTGTTTCTAGTGCTTCCACTATCATTATCATTGTCAAATGTAGTAAACTGGGCATCATTGTGGCAGTGGATAACTGTACACGAAATTCCGTCACCTGTAAATAGAACAAATGTCCTTGTAAAGAGCTGTTTAAAAATGTAAGTTACCTACAATTTCTAATATAGCATATTCTAAAACATTTATGGCTATTTAAATACTATTGCAGAATTAATGTAAATTCCATATAGAAAACTTAGTGTCTGGCATGCGTACCAGCTGTTCCGCTGTACCCAGACACGTGGATTCGGTAGTTGTCTCCCTCCTCCGCGATGTAGAAACTACTGTACTCAGCATACACCGACTCTGTACCGTATTCCAATTCCACACGTAAAACTGTATATCCATTGGTCACCAACAAACGGATGTTGTCAAGACCTTAAAACACATAACATGCAAACATACGAAATTGATCTTGAAATATACGAAACATATCTGACATTAGGTGAATGGTTGTATAATTCTATGAAGGCGTGAATTTGAGAGTTTACTAAACTTGAGCAATGTAAGGAATCTTTTTGGAAAATTTTCAATCGCACAAGAGTCAAGGTCTTTATTGCCTTTTATTATATTCGTTTACAGGATTTTAATAATTATTACACACCAATCCAGAACTCAGAGTTGAGGTCACCAAATCCGTTTTTGTATTCCGTCCATCCTCTGTAAAAGTTAACAGAGCCATCAACTCGTCTTTGAATCATCTAAACAAAACAAGCAAAAGTATGCTTTTTAAAAAAGAATTGATGTGTCAAATTTTTTTTAAAGACATATGAGTATTATCTTACAGATAATGTCATCGCAATCACACAAATGTTTTTTTTTAAATTATTGATCACTTGAACTTTTTGTATTTGTATAATATACCGTCCAAATATGACCGGCTGTATTCATACAATTGGCAGGAAACTGTTGGCCATCCATCTTCACTGTGTGTGTTAAAAACTGGCCTACAGGGGGTGTTAAAGCTCCACAATGGCAGTCTAAAAACAAAGTATGATAATAACGAAATTTGTGAATATGTTTTAACAATGCAATTCAGTAGCTTATGTTCAAAGAACGACTTTGCATCAGGTGTTAAAAGTCCTTATTTTTAAGAGAAAATGGAAATTAACAAGAGGCCCTGGGGCCACATCGCTTATCTGAGCAACTGGCTGGGTAAAAACAAAAATTAGTTCAGTATTGAAAAAATAAGATATATAATAAAAATCGGTTCTGGGGAGGGGGTATTTAAACAAACTTAAATCTACACTTCCTTAGAATGCTTTTGTAACACATTATGGTTTTGTTGTTTATAAGATGAAAATTTCTTTTGATATAGCCTTTGTATTCCTTTGTCCACTTTATGGCTCCTCTATTCTCCTGAATTTCAAATCTAAGTTACATTTTCTTTATGCTTTTAGATTGATGATCAATATCATGATGGCTTTGTGAAAAATTTTAACGATTTTTACGATTTCCTAGTATGTTGATCAATAATTGTGGCCACACCCATGCCCAAGGGGTCATGATTTGAATAAAATGAATCTTTCCTTTCAGAAGACGATCCTTCTAAAGTTTCATCTTTCATGGCCAGGTGAATCTTGAGAAGAAGATTTTTAAAGATTTTTCCTATGAATTCTTTTGTTGAACACCCATTGAGACCCCTTCCTACCCCCGGGGTCAAAATTTGAACAAACTTGAATCTACACTACATGTACATGAGGATGATTCCACATGAGTTTCATCTTTCCTGGCCCAGTGGTTCTGGAGAAGAATATTTTAAAAGATTTTCCCCATGTACTCCTAGGTTGAAATTTGATACCCCATTGTAGCTCAACCCTACCCCGGGAAACATGATTTGAAAAAAAAAAATTAAATCTTCCCTACCCGAGGAGGATTCCACATGAGTTCCATCTTTTCTAGCCCAGTGGTTCTGCAGAAGATTTTATAAGATTTTTCCAAAGTATTCCTATGTTAAACTTCCGTACCCCATTCCGGCCCCATCCTACCCCCGGGGGTCATTATTTGAACAACCTTTGATCTTCGCTACCTGAGGATTATTCCACATGAGTTCCATCTTTCCTAGCCCAGTGTTTCTGGGGAAGAAGGTTTTTAAAAGATGATATTAATTTTTCACTTATTCAGAATTATCTCCCCTTGGAAGAAGCGATGGCCCATCATTTGAATCCCCTTTACCCAAGAATACTTTGTGGCAAGTTTGGATGAAATTGGTTTAGTGGCTCTTGAGAAGAAGATGAAAATGTGAAAAGTAAACGACGACAACAACAACGACAACAACGACGACAAACAACGGCCAAATTTTAATAAGAAAAGCTCACTTGAGCATTCGGCGCAGGTGAGCTAAAAAGGTGATGCAACTCTGAAAAAATTGAAGCGAGAAGTCATTTAACCTTAGTATTGACTTTATTTTCAGTAAATTCTCAAATATTTATAACAGTCATCAATTTGGAAGACAATAAATCGAAAAAAAGGGCAAACAGAAGGTCCCCATTAATGTTCAAAGGTGCAATCGGACGTCTTAGAGGAGTGAGCAATTTTTAAATATCAGCCGGTCAGACAGAATAAAGAATGTTCACTGCTGAGTGTCGAATATAGTGCTGACACTGTAAGTGTCGAATATAGGTCTTGATTTGAGGCCCTGGACCTATATATGATAATATGATGAAGTTTCTATATTTGAGTAAAAAGTCTCAAATGCAATGTAAAACAACAATCTGTCAACCAACCGTTTTTAGTAAGTTAAACGTCCGAATAATATTTAGATGTTGCAGTTTATTAACTTTTATTAATTTTGTTTTGCTATATTTAGCTAGTAATAAGGGGGGGGGGATATAATAAATTTATCATTCATATCCTTGATCCGAAGGATCATATTACGTCGCTTCGACAGGCGCGGATCATCAGATCAAACTCGACGCTAAGCATCTTATTTAATCTGATGTTCCGGGCCTGTCAACGCGACACGATAGGACCCTTCGGATCAATTAACTACAATGTAACATAGTAAATAAATATATATGAGTCGCATTTTAACTGACTTCTTTTATACAAAATTGCAAGGCCTTTGTTTTATATTTCATTTGACCACAGAAATTCCCATCTACCTGTTCAATACGTAGCGCCCTTGGTGGGCGTGGCCTATCTACAAAGACTTCTTACATTTCCTAGACACCTGTCCTCACCACATATTTCCAGGGCTTAGTTTTTATGCCCTCGTCACATATTTGTGTTGTTTATAGATCTTTGGAGATCGGTCACTGCTCGTTATCTACATCTTTTACTTTATCACAGAAGGAGCGCTCTACCGACTAAACTTACTTTTGATATTGAATGCAACACTATTTTCGTTAAAAATGAAAAGAAACTTAATTAGTTTTCCTCAAAAGAGATTGCGTCTTATAAATTTTTGATGAAGTAGGAATAAAAAAAGTGAAATGTTTAACAACTTTTTTCGTCAAGGTTCTTTTCATTTACCTTTCATTATTTGATAATATTTGCTATTCAGGGTTTAAGTTTATTTACCAGTTACAAGTAGTTTATAGACTTTCAATAAACTATTTATTTTGACCTTCGTTATTTTGCTTCTTTTAAAATCTAATTTTATCACTGAAAGCATAAAGTTTTCAATTGAGATACGAGGACTGTTCAATAAATAATTTTCTCAGAGCTAGTCTGAATTATTCAACTTCATATTTTCTTCGAATTTAAATACATGTCCGTAACATCGCAGCTAGGTTAAGGACGCCCTTTTGTTAAGGCCAAGCTTTTTACAACTTAAGTGCTGATTAGTCACAAATTTCGAGTACTTAAAAATAATAAAAGAAAAAGTTAGAGTCAGTGATTTTAATTTTGAAATATTGGTCAAAATATGTGATCTTCAGACGAAAAATGGTATAAATTTTATATAGACTTATTTGACATATCTTCGTTTTTTGGCAAAGTTTGTTGAAGGAAGGTGTAAAACTTGTTCTAAAAATGTAAATTAATACCTCTATTAAATATTCCTAGCAATATCATAACGGAAAATATTCTCCGAGAAAAAGTATGTGAGGCTAAAGTTCCAAGATATTAAACTTAATAAATGTGCAGATTTGCAGAATTATCTGCTAAATATCCTTCCACCACAAAAAATTAGTCCCTCATTTGTCTTGTTTTTTTTTTTTTTTTTTTTTTTAGCTTTTTGAGCAGTTTTTTCATTGATTGTTAAAACATTAACATTGTTGAATTTAAACATGTTACAAAAATTAAAAAAATGATAAATAGTTTTGAAGCAAGAGGATCTGCGATAACTTTTCTAAAAAGCTGACGAGTGACATACCTTAATAGAAATTCTACTATTGCATTTGCATGTATGGGGTCTCTGACAAGTTTGGCAAAAGCGACTTTACTTACATCAGTTGTTTGTCACGTGACATGATGGAAATTAGAAAAAAAATGTACGACTACAAAGATTGCATAAGTTCAACGATATATAAAATAATAATTGTTAACTATGAAATAAATTATGTTTTGTTTAAGACAAATTTCTTAACCCAAAATGTGCGGGAACAATTTCCTCAAGCCCGGGCATAATATAAAATTTAGCCGTCTTTTGATAAACTTCGTACATTAAGATTATACGCATGAAATAATGTAAAATTACGGAAAAAAGCAACAGCGCACAATTTGCTCCCAGCTGTTTTCAAAATACACTTCGGAAGGAACAATAGCTACAAGTGTATAAAAAAATCATAATTTATAGTTATGCGGATATCGTTGAACTTTTGAGATTTTCGAGGGGTTGTGCCTGTGATTTTAGTACATTTATATATAAATGTGCCTTACTGTGGCTTAATAATAGACTTAATCGCTTTCAATTTAATAAGACTGGAAAATATTGAGTAATGCATTAAAAAATATTACTAAATTTTAATTTAATCAGGCTTATTTAACTTTAATTTCATCAATATAAATTTGATCTACATCTCAAGTACAGAGAAACTGCTTGTCAAACAAGTCTATGACGTCATCACAGCCAATACCGCGAGATCAAGTTTGCTTTAATTTTACTTTCAAATAGTGTTATATATAATGACAAGATCAGTTACACATTGATTAATATTTACAATATTTATGAAAATTGACTGCAAAAAAAGTGCTTGACATTATAGAAAATTAAGTATTTACTCGCCAAGATTCATTTGCACAGTTTTGCCGTGACGTCATAATCGAATTCTCGAAGCTCTGCATAAGCTGAGGCACCTAAAGGAGTCCTTAACCTAGCTGCGATTTTTATCCAATATCTGATCGCTTTTTAAAGTCATGTTTAAGTATGGCCGTTTATATACTGGATTATGGCAGATCTTATGATTTCCTCGACCTGTTCCTTCTTTCTGTAAGGTAATTTTTTTTAAGTTTCGAAAATGAACAAAATAAAAGGGCTATTATTATCGTGTGAGAAAATATTGCCCATCTGTTTATCCCTCAAACTACTTTACTGGTCATGGCGTGTGGGTTACGACGTTGTCATGAAGAAAATTAATGAAATGTAATTTAGTGACCATTGGATACTTAGCTTTTTTTTTTTTACTGTCGAATGTTTCTTTAAATAGTGTGAACTACTCCCAGATTGATGCCTATTAAACAACACTGTTCTTTTCTTTTTTTTATTTTTTTTTTGGCCTTGTGAATTTCCGAAAAACTGAAACTGTGTAGTTTTCGTTAACAATGCATTGAATATCTATCAAGAATGAAGTAATCTTTGGCTAGGCAATGCATTATGGCGTCCTGAAATGTGTAACTTTCCTCATATTCTGAAAAAGTCTTCAAAAACGGCATTTTTTACAGCTTTTTTTAAAAAAAAAATTAATATAAAACCTCTGAGCTAAAATATGCAACTAATAAATAATAGAACTGTTTCACAGAATTAAGACATGTTTTATTTTTTTATATAAGAGAGTGTGCTCATATTATTTTTTTTTCATTGTATGTACTCAAATATATTAATTTATCTTAAAATTCAAGAACATTGCAATTTCAAAATGCTAGATCACACAGATTTGGACTTTTAAAAATTTTATTAGGAAATGAAAGCACTAAAGTTCAAAGGCAAATTAAGCGGTAATCAAAGAATCGATATATCTACAGGGCCATTTTTGCATAACATGCATATGAACCTAGCTCTTTGCTATGTGTTTTAAGGTCAATCTAACATCCTAAGTGATAAATTGTTGAATTATGGCAAACTCAACATTGATTGTTTTAAGTCATTGTCGCTAAAGACGGTACCCATTTTTTATCCTGATTATATCATTATTATTCATTGAAATCCACCTGCTAATGTGTTTATAAAACAGGAATTGGTTGCTGTAAATTTCACAAAGAATGACTGCACTGAAGCTATGAGAGTTGGATCCCGATGTTTTGCGCGAAATAAAATTCCAAAATCCATTAAATATATGTTTTATAGGTATTAAACAATATCTTAAGAGCAGGTTTTGGTGTATTACATTACATGAAAGTATTAAACAATGCCAAGCGACACTATCTTTTGAGACGGGGGTCTAACATTTCTATTGTTATTCATATGCATACCAATTTTCAACGACTTTATTTACATCGAGCCGCAACTTGGCCATTTTTCTTATTTGCACAGAATGTGTGTTTTAACTAAAACTTATACATATCCAAAGGACAATGTTGGCCAAGTTGCGGCTCATATCTAATTAAAAAAAAATGTCCCAAAAACTAGGCTTGATATAGCTGCTAAATTAACCGGTCACCAAGCATCAGCGATTGATATTATAATCACCTTACTCACGTGACATTATGCTGTTCGATACGCGTGCTAATGTTTACATTCCACAACCACGCGGTTTAAATGTCTCCGCCTATTTGCGGATACCTTAAATTCGAAAGTGGTCCCGTTCAAATTTCCGGAATTTAAGGCTTTTACATGTTCGTTTCAATTACATTTTCTGTAATTATAGAACCACTGGCAGATTTAGAAGGGGGGGGGGGCAGGGGGCCCGGCCCCCCGTTTGAGTCTTCAAAAATACACAATTTTTGATAAATCAATGTTTTTTTTGGTGTGACTGTGGGCCCCTACCCTGACCCCCCCCCCCCTTTTCAAAATTTCTTGATCCGCCACTGCGAACTATGTAGGACATAAAATTCTAAAAATACATGTAAATATCAAAAGCATATGCTTGCACATTAATCATAGTTTAATTTAGCGATATATTGTAATGTTAAGCTTAAAATGGGTAGCCGAAAAGGTTCCAAATGACGTACTTAAGTGCAGTCATTCTTTCATGGATAAGAATCTTTTGGATTCTTTATAAGCTTAACAGCAGCTTAAAAGCAGCGTGTAATTTCACTCTAGTTTTCTAATTGTTTCCAGCTTCTCAGAATGAAAATTAACATGAAAAGTGATCAAATAAACTGATATAAATTCTTAAAAGATTCAATCATGAGAGACAGTCGAGCGTAATGTCATATGATATCTGTGGTGCATATTATACAGTTCAGAACATCATTCATTGAACAGGCCTCGTATAGAGTACACGTAGCTATAACATTAATTTAAAATTATTAAACTTCTGACTGTTATTTGTGTATCACCATTAAATACACTGACTCATCGTTGGAACCCACAGGCTTTCTCTCCGTTACACTGTTAAATGCAGTGTAAAGGAGAGAAAACCCGTGGATTCCGACGATGACACTGACTGTAAGGATTTCAATTCATTAATTATCTTAGACAGAGGCAAATTCTCTCAAAATACAGATTAGTACATGTTGTACCACTTTGGTCGGTTATTCACTATACCAAAAGCACGCTGATATAACTGTATACAGGGAAACTTTCGCCCCCGTTTTATTTTCGCCCCTTTCGCCTATCCTCATTTGGGCGAATTAAAATGATACAGTATAAGTACTTAAACAAAACTTTGACAGGGGCAAAATTGTCCGCAACTGTGAAAGGGCGAAAATAACCCTGTATAAAGTACCTTCAATTGTCTTATATTTTAAGCAAGAGAAAAAACTTTCAGCGATTCAATAATAATTGATCCTCAGTGGTCACGATTAATAATGCTTGCAATACTTCTCTGGTCAGAAAATATTAAATTTCATTTCACTACTTTAACAAATAAATATTACTTCGAATAGTTGCTTTGCTTACCAATAACACACTCACAATATCCATTTCTTCTGTTAAAATAAGAATTCCAGCCGCATGCGTGCTCCTATCAATAATTCAAAAGTTATGAAATTAAAAATACGCATTTTCTTCAATTTAGATTGATAAAATGTACATTATAATCAACAACTGTCTTGTTGTTTTTTTTATTATTATTTCAAAAGTCCTCAGGAATTTAAGATACTGTAATAAAAAAAAAACGATTAACCCGACTACATCATTATAACATGTTTCAATCAATAATCAATTTTGCCGAAAATTTTAAAATGTACTCATTGAAATTAAATCAATGAAATAATATTCAAAATATGCACATTCCTTTAATATTTATATTATGGTGCTGAAAAAAAAAACACTTATAAATATAAAAAAAAATTGACTTTATTTCTTTATTGAAAAGACACAAAGTATGAATTATAGAAAAACATACTGGGCTAGGGTAGTTTTATTACGGCAAAAATACACCGTGAAGGTTACATATTTTTTCCCCCTAAATATGGAGCATATCTTAAAATGTTATTTAGATTTTAAACAAAAATGGATCATTTTTGTTATTGATTTCATGTGATTCATTGCATTAATGACTGATTAACAAAGCCTTTGTCCGAAACATTTCTGACTTTTTTATGATTATTTTTTAAAGAAGGGCCATATTTCTAAAATATCTTTTTTTTTAATTAATTATATTTCTTGATAAATGTGTTCCAAATGTAATTGAATTAGTAACATAGCCTAAATGTACCAGATCTGGATGTTTTGCGTTAATCATAACCTGAAGACTGCAGAAATTATTCAATCCGGGATGGAATTATCATCAATGCATTGTAAATTTGCAACTTTTTACAACACTCTGGAGAATATCATGGTTTATATTGAAGATTAGAAAATCGAATCTGTTTAATATTTTAAATTCATTTCAATCTAATTCTCACCAGTTCATAACGAAAACACGTATTACTTCCAGTAACCATTGATTTGAAAATGCTTGAACTTAGTCGGCAGATCGTTCCTGTCTCGGATGAACATATCTCTACTGCGTTACAGTCCAAGTTCTTGTAGCATTCTACAGCACAATAACGCAAAGAGATTTCCGAAACTGCCGGAGTTAATTCGGATATCATCAAAGACGTGTCAAAATACGAGACATTTCCTTGATGTATAAATTTCCCACTTACTGTACTGGCTTCCGAATATGGTACATACATGCACAGGTATAGAAAGCTATAGAAACATATTAAATTGGTTTTTTGATTCCGAAAATGTAGACAAGGTATTCCTTTGAAGGTTTGCATGGCAACAAAACGATCTCTGTGCATATTTTACCTACGATTCCATATATTTAAGATACGCAGGAATGTTTCATCAATTGAACACAATCCAGATGAGACTTGTTAAAATAAACTGCTGCGATACAATTGTTGCTCAGAACACAGTTCACCTGAGAAGCGTATAATGTTTCTTTTTTTCAGCGTTGTTTAATATGCGCTAGGAAATTGAGAACATGCTTTCATGCTAATTAGTTTGCTGAATATTTAATTTAAGGAAATAAGCTTGAGAGCCTTTAAATTTTCATCGATCAAAGCTATGCAGTGCAAAACTAAAAAAAATAATTCTTTACATAATATATATTTTTAAAATTTGTGCGCATCTCGCTGGTAACTGACTGCTTAAAAATTTAGTTGGATTTCCGCTTAAATTTTTTTTCATTTCTAAAAAAAAAAACCCGAATGTCTTTGCATTTTTGAGACATAAGCTTAAATGGTCGTTGAAAGAAAATAACTGACGTGTATTTATTAAATTTTGACACCAATAGAAAATGTACTTAAAGAAATACGCACGCCAACTATCGATTCCCGCGTACAATCTGCAACCATTTAATTCATTATAAATCAATAAAATGTCAATTTGGCCATAAATTCTTTGATTAATAGAAAGAGTAGTTCAATAGAAACTGATGAATTCTCTTGATACCAGCGCAAAATAGTAAATTATCCCTAACACCAGCTCTTGAAAAAAAGTTTTGTAGACCATAGTTTTTATTGGAATTGGACTTTCAAGCATCACCATATTTTGAAATTGTCTTGAATGTGCCTTATATCTTTTCTTATATTTTAGGCAAATATATAAAGCATAAATAGAATTCATGAAATAGAATGTTTCACAGGGTTCTCCGTCATTTTAGATTTAACTGTGCCTCAAGATTAACGCAAAGTACTAAATATTCGCGGTCATTTCGCGACTGAATTCGCGAAGGACCCACAAACAAAGTTAAAACACAGACCCTATGATTCAGTAGTTAAAAAAAATGACATTTATTACATTTAGATTTTCATTTCAGTAATAACGGAATAATAAATACATTGATATAGATTTATATATTACACATACTGCAAAACAAAAATTATGATTCTTCCAAAATTCATTTAAATATGTTTACCGTGAAAAAAAACCCACACAAAACCTCCCAATTAGGTACTTATAATGAAAGAAATATTTTTTATAGAATCTAATATTAATAGTACCAGTAGTATCACATTTTAAGCATTTGTCTTTTCGGTGTTTATTAAGGACAGAGGAAATTCTTGTAGGTCACACAGACACGTTAAAATTCAGATCTATACATTTGCAATTAATGGTCTTAAAAAGATAACATAAAATTTTCGTGGATGTATTATTTTTCAACATTAGAAAAATACATAATACACGGGCGATGTTTTGATTCGCAGTGCCAATGCAATTTCAGAAGCCCCGTTATCTTTAGCGCGGTGCGTATCTTTACTGCTACATTTTCAAAATTTTCATTACCGCTACATAGTCATTACTGCTACACAAAACGTTACATTGCCGCTACATAAAAAAGTATTCATTACCGCTACATTAGCCAGCCACTTTATGCGTGTACAGATTAAAGTATATCATATACATGAACAAGTGTTTTCAGAACCTGTTTACCCTTCTCACCAAGGGAAGGTGAAAAAAGGACTTTGAGAAGGGTTTTTTAAAATTTAATTTCCAATTTGTTTCTAAAAACACTTTAAAATATTTAAAAAATGTAATCAAGCACTGATCACAGATAAAACCCACATACTCTACAATCTTCTGATTAGAATTAAAACCGAATTAACTTCACCACACAGTGAGTGAATTCTGTTGATTAGAACTCATCGTACACCGTACCTTACATATGCCTGGTAAGTTCACTATGTGTCGGTGGAGGTTTGTTTTCGGCTGATTCAATATGTAGCGGTAATGAGTTGATTTCGGCCAAAAAGATATGGCGGTAATGATATGTCGAAATTTTGAAGAAAAAAATGTAGCGGTAATGACTTGAAATTTAGGGTACGTATCGTTACCGCTACATTTTCAAAATTTTCAATCCCACTACATAGTCATTACCGCTACAAAAAAAAACCTTACATTACCGCTACATAAAAATATACATTACCGCTACATTGCCTCTTTCGTAAGTCAGCCACATATGCGTGTATAGTACAACCTATTAATGCATAAGACCCGTAATCCTGCTCACCACAGGGAGGTGAAAGTAGGACTTTGAGCAGGATTTTTTTTAAATCAATTTAATTTCATTAAACACAAAAACATTAAAATCAAGCACTGTCCATAGATACAATTCTAAGTTTTGTCAAATACTTTTTTACACAATCGCTTAAGCCTTGAAAGCCATTTGTTTGACATCTTGTTGTTTTCTAAATTTATAACCATCGATAAGTAAGCCGGCATTCCTGATTTGTAACAAACATATCAATTGTGGCCATAATGTTCAGATGACACTATACAATTAAATTTCGACTGCAGAGTTATTCATATAAATATACTCATTCTGATTAAATAGTGAGTGAATTCTGTTGATTAGAACACATATACCGAATCATACCTGGCTAAATTGATAGGTAGCGGTAATGAGTCGTTTTAGGCTGATTCAATATGTAGCGGTAATGAATCGTTTTTGACCGGAAAAATGTAACGGTAATGGTCGGTTAAAAATCTGAAAAAATTGAAGCGGTACAATGTAAAGAGTTGAAATTTTTGGCAAAGTAGCGGTGATGTTGACCTCCCGAAATTTTTGACGATGTAGCGGTAATGTTGACCTCCCAGCATTTAGGACCAGTGTGTTTATTTAATAGATCAATCGTAAATCAATTGACATTTAAAATTTTCACTATCGTGATTTTATGTGTCAATTGAACTCTAAAGTTTAAAAGGTTATATATTGTGAAAATAATGGGCCCTAATTAGAATAAATTAGTCGTGTTGACAGTCCATTATTAGAAACTGAAAAACAGTTTAATAATTTAAAGGTTCATTTGATTGATATTATAAATTTGTATATATTTATCGTATTGACGACGAAAATCAAACCGTACATAGCGGTAATATTTTAACTGTGTTGGAATTGTAGTGCTGATTTTTTAACTGTGGCGGGGCCGCATCGTTAAAGGTCCCATGAAGAACCATGGTTTCAGTAGTAATTCGCTTTGAACAGGTCTGGACGATTTCTAAATATGGAAGTCAAGAACGATAACCGAAAGTTGCTATATATATATTTCCTAAACACATGAGATGGTTTTCTGTCCAATCAGATTACAGGATTGTGACACACCTATGAAAAACCGTAAACAAAGAGTGCAAGTACACGTGGGTTTTCTTTTTTCGTGAAAAAGATTTTTTTGATACATTTTTTTGGAAATCAAATTAGATATATTGGTTAAAAGAGACATTTACTACATTTCTACCGTGAACAAGCGATTATTTTCAGACTTTTTACGACACAATGACTACTTCGAATCTTAAAAAATCAATCGACATTTCCCGTTTTCTACAAAAATGAAAAAATCTTATTTAAGACATCATTTCATTAAAAACACTTGTAAATCTAATCCTCCACATATATATATACTCTATACATTTCATTATAATATCTTTTTGATAACCATATGCAGAGAAACTTTTAAGCTGAAAATTTAAACTCCACCGGTTATGCGAAAGAGAATCGCATAAAATACATGAAGTTTTCATGCGTCCCTCTAGCTTCAATACAATAGAAAGCAAAATGGCTGGACTTCTTGTGTTGTTGGCATTTCTTATGTTTCCTGGATTAGGAAAGTTTGAAACAAGGTGCTCTTGTGCTATGCATGAGAAATGGGCAGCAGGCAAAGGACCTGTTAGGCTAAAGGGGATAAGAAATATCCCAAAGCAGGCACTTGATGTCTTCAATTCACTCTCGGTAACACGTATACAACTATACGAGAAAGGAAATTTTGTAACGTTTGTATCGAGACAGCTGCTAATCTAACGTCAGACCAGACGCGAGTATTAGGATTAGATCAAGTGAGTCTCTCACTCTCTCTTTCTCTCTTTCTCGATCGATCGATCATTTTGTGCATACAAGAATGATTTAATGGTTGAAAAGAATGAATATTTCAAAATCATTTTGAAAAAGATATCGAAGAAGAGGAAGAATACAGAGGATGATGCAGCAATCAACCCTAAGAAACCTCGCATAGAGGAAGACAGACTTCCTGGATAGTTTCTACATGTATCACGATGCACTATTAAAATAACAATAAAGCACGATTTTCTATTTCACTTCTCAATTTTTTTCTTAGGAGTAAATTTATCATTGCACATAAAGTGAATAAGAAAGGAAATGTGCGTAATATAGATCTATGTATTCTTTGACACTGTGGTATATACTTTGGTTTCATCAATATTCGTTGAACACCAATTTTCGTGGATTTCGTTGTTGAGCCGATCCACGAATTCAAATGTTCATTAAATTAGGAAATATGACATACATTTGTATAGGCAATGCTTTTGTCCACGAAATTACGTATCCTCGAAAATGTCTATTTTACAAAATCCACGAAAATTGATGCCGACGAAAATTGATAAAACCACAGTTTATGAATAACTCGTTATATTTGAATACTTGCCAAAAAGTTTCATTATAAAAGAAGAGGATTTTCAAAGAAAAATATGAATACCATTTTTTAAAAGTTAATTCTGCTTCATAGGAATATGAAAACAGGTCAGTCAATAATGGAGCACAGTTCGTGCCCGTCGCAATTCCATCAGTTTGGTCTGCGTTTGGCTCTTGAACACAACTCTAAATAAAGGAGTCATTTTACATTGATCAAAAAGATAACTAAAACACAAACCTCAACTTTGAAACCTTTTTTCTCTC